ATGTTTGATTCTGTTGTTTTGGTTGATCTTTTGATTGTTAATAATCGTATCTACGAGAGTAATATACTGCAGTTATGTCACGCTGATTGTGGCGAGGGCATGTGCTATAGTGCACTCGTTACCCGAGCCCACGCGTAGGCGTGGAAGCGAGGGTAAAGCAGTCGTCCTGTCTGTGTGTGTGTGTGTGTGTGTTCGCTTGGTCTCCACTTTTGAGCTGACACTGCTTTCTTGTCTAGTCCTGGAGAGTCTTATAATCAACACTGGCTCTAGAAAAAGTTATTCTCTGTCCTGGGAATGCTATATTTTTCTTTTCCGTGGAGTAAGAAGCTGGCAAAGTCGCCAAACGTAGGTCGGTTCCCCGACAACTTTTTCATAGTGTGAGCAAAAGAGCAACTGGGCAGATAAAACAATAAAGCAAAGCCTCATCTTTCATTAATATGAGAGGAATTGCTCTAATCATCTTCGTTTTAAAGATATGGTAGCCCAAAAATTCATACTTTAGTGAGTTTACACGAGGCTCTTCTCCCGAAGTAGCGGCCAGAGTCTTTAAACATCAGGGGCTCAATAGACGTTTGTATTGCAACAAATAGAGCCTAACAAATGTATGCTAAACTGTTTAAAAGTCGAGAAAAACCAAAGCTTTCTTCACCACTTAGAGCCATGTGCCACCATTACTGTGTGTGCAGGTGGAGCATGGCTTGATTGAGCCACACCTTCATTGCAGCCACACCTTTACATTGCTGCAGCAGTGCAGCAAGCATGCTGGAGCTTCTTCTCTGTCTAAAAAACAAAAAAATCACCGTCTCAAAACATTCACTAAGTTTTTACATGCTGAAGCTTCTTTTCTGTGTCAAAACTTTCACTAATTATTTTTCTCTTAATTTATTAAAATTTTTACACACAGACTGTGGCGAGGGTATGCACTTTAGTGCTCTCGTTATTATTATTGTATAGGAAGTGATTGAAATAACTGAAGAATTCAAGACACCATTGACTCCAATAAAGCTAGGTATGTTATAATATGTACTATCACAATTGTCAAGTAGTGGGAGTGTAGACTGTACAGTGTATATACACATTATTAATTATTATTTTTATAGATATTAAAGATCTTGATATTGTCATTGAAGAGCTAACAATACTCAATCAGTTACCTTGCCATATATGGCATGATCTTGGTCTTCAGCTAGGACTCTATCAGCCTACACTAGAAGACATCAATGAAGATAATGGAGACTCAAAGAAGTGCTTCAGACAATGTATGTCTGCCTGGTTAAAAGGAAAAGATAAAGTGAGAGAGAAAGGAGGTCCCAGTTGGTCATCATTAGCTACAGCACTGGATACAATAGAAGAGAAACCTATTGCTAGTTACATTAGAAATAAATATTGTTAATAATTGTAGTTAATTGCTTTGGTTTGTCTCATAAAATATTACTTACTTTAAATTTCTATTTTGACTTAATTTGATATGAATTTAAAGATAACTTGCCTATAGTATTTCATTTTGTTGTGTCCATTAATTAACAGAATAAGTGATAGCTATATTGTGGTGAGTCTGAGCAAGCTCCAATAAGACGATAAAGCAGGAAGTGTATCTGTCCCTTAATAGTACAGGTGGTCTAAAGTTAGATTACCTTGAAACTGGGCGGAGTCATAGTTTTAAAAAGTTCCGATAATTAGTTATGAGTATTTTTAAAAGTTACATGTACCAAGTCATTACCTACATCATGTGTAGAGTAGCATTGTTACTATAAATAGTATCAGTTACCACAACTGAATAAACTGTATCATCTGTACCACAATAGTGCTGTTACTATAAATAGTATCATTTATCACTACTATAAATAGTACCAATGTTACTATAGATCAGTGTTACTATAAATAGATTCATTTACCTCTATTCCTAAGGAAGAATGACACTATGTACAGTATGTCTTGGCTGAGAGTGCAGTGTTTTATTATTATTATTATTATTATTATTATCACTAATATTATATTATTATTAATATAGAGAGTAGGTAGTTAATTATTATTATTATTATTATTATTATTATTACTGTATAACTGTAAATTTGACAGAATAAAATTTTAGTGAATTCGGTAAATTGAGGTCAATTCATTAAAATTTTAATCTACAATTTGATAGGGCTCTGCAGCAGCATGCACATGGTTAAAATTTCACCAAAAAATTTTAAACCTAAACCTCTTTTAGAGTCCATTCAACAAATTTTGACACTCCAAAATTATCAAGCTATACAGTAGTAGAGATGCAGTCCTCATATAAAGGAATAGTAAGGTGGAGTGTAGTATGAGATTTTGAGGAGATTTTATTATTATTATTGAGATATGAATATGAGAGGAGTTAAGTACAGACCCTATAGGTGGGTCTATATAATGGTGATTAGGAATTAGCAGCTGTGAGTCATTGAGCATGTGAAGAATAAAACAAAATGGAGTGGACTTTATATCAGTGAATGTTAACTACAACTGATGATCTGCCAATATTAATTCTTTGTCATATTCCAGCTGTATGGTAACTACTGTTATTACATGAGTGATCAGAATCAGTTCAAGAACTATCTAAAGGACATTGATATATAAATTGAGAAATTATTTTACAGCCAATTCTTGGCAAAAGCATTCTCTCCTTCTCTCTCAGTTATGGTAGGTGTGTTTAGTGTATTGAATTCCTGATGTGTGGGCTGGTATCAATGAATATAATTAACTGATCACAAGATGTCGTTAGAGGACAAGTGTTGGACTGCGTTTGAGGAAAGAGATCATAAAGAAGCTGTTCGCTTACTACCATTAGTGAAGGAACCGAATAAAATTAAAAGAAGTTATATAGAATGGGATAATACTAGTTTACTTCATTTGTCTTCAAGGCATGGCTGGTTAGATGTTACAAAAGATCTCATCACTAAATATCACAGTGACCCACACGAAAGAGATAGTGATGGTCGAACTTGTCTTCATTATGCTGCATATGATAATCATGGTGATGTGATGAGATATCTCATTGATGAGTGTCACTGTGATCCAATGGTTCCTAATAAGTATGGAGATACTGTTCTTCACAGTGTAGCTAAGAATGGATCACTTGATTTCATGAAGTACTTGATCAATCATCATCACTGTGATCCAATGGCTACTACTAATAGTGGTGAGACTGTTCTTCACCATGCTGCTAGACACATTGATATTGTAAAGTATCTCATTGATGAGTGTCACTGTGATCCAAAGGCTACTACCAATAGTGGTGAGACTGTTCTTCACCATGCTGCTAGACACATTGATATTGTAAAGTATCTCATTGATGAGAGTCACTGTGATCCAAAGGCTACTACCAAGGATGGTGTGACTGTTCTTCACCTTGCTGCTAGACACATTGATATTGTAAAGTATCTCATTGATGAGTGTCACTGTGATCCAATGGCTGTTAACAGGTGGGGGTGGACACCTCTTCACTTTGCTGCTGGTTGGGGTTGTTCTGCAGCTGTTGGATATTTACTATCAACTGGTAAATGTGATCCATTGGCTAAAGACAATGAGGGGAACACACCATTTAAACTAGCTAAGAAGGAAGGCCACACTGATACTCTTTCTGTCATGAAGAAGTTTGGTGGTATAAAATCATCTCATCCAATTGATTCTTATGTTAACGTCCTCCTTGTGGGTAATCCTGGAGCTGGTAAAAGTACTCTTAGTCATGTCATCAATGACACAGCTACTGGTTCTATTGTTCTTGCTTCCTTTAGAAACGTTGGAGGGGTAGTGCCCTGTACTGCTGGCATCATTCCTTATAAATTACAACACAGGACACTCGGTAACATCATTCTTCATGATTTTGCTGGTCATTCCGAATACTACTCCAGTCACAGTGCTGTCATTGAGAATCTCTTACAAGGTTCTGGTGGTGTGTTCCTCATAGTAGTCAATATATTGGAGAAGGAACCAGTCAAACAGCTTCATCAGTGGCTAACAGTTGTCACAAATGAAGCACACAAAGCTCTTAATCAATGCCATGTTATTGTAATAGTCAGTCATAAAGATGAGATAAGTAATCCTGTTGAAAGGAGAAGGAGAAAGGAAGAAATACAGGAGATTATTGTAAGGGAAAGGTGTGATAGTGTCTTCTTAGATTGTCGTAAGCTTGGTGGGAGTGGTGTGGATTCCTTCTTTAATAAGTTGTCTAGTGCCTGTGAGTCCATTCGTAGTACAAGTGGAAGGAATTTGAGTCTTTATTGTCACATGATGTAT